TGATCAGCTTAAGGGTTTGAGATATTTCTCAAAGATTGATCTTAGATTGGGGTATCAACAATTGAGAGTACGGGAAGAGGATATGGCGAAGACAGCTTTTCGCACTCGTTATGGCCATTATGAGTTCATGGTTATGTCATTCGGTGTTACGAATGCCCCGGCGGCATTCATGAACTTGATGCATCTCATTTTTAGTCCTTATTTAGATCAGTTTGTCGTGTTGTTTGTTGATGACTTGTCTGACGAGTAAGGGCATTAGATTTGAGTGGACAGATGACTGTGAGCATTCATTTCAGGAGCTGAAGAAGAGGCTCACTTCTGTATTTGTCCTGATTATACCTGAGGGAGGTATTGGATATACCGTTTATTGTGANAAAAGAGCTATATTCTCACAGATCGGTTTGGCTTTGAAGCAAACACTCTTGGATTGAGAAATATCATTTTAGGTATGATATTTTGCTAAGTTGAGAATATATTTAAGTTTTCTTATCTTCCTATGTGTTGATTGAATGATTTAGGTGTTTACTTGATGTTAAAAAATCATTNGATGCTTTACGAGAGGGATTAGGTTGTGTATTGATGTAGGAGGGTAGAGTGGTAGCCTATGATTCTCGATAGTTAAAGAATCATGAGCAAAACTACCCCACACATGATTTGGGGTTAGCTACCATCATTTTTGCACTTAAGAGTTGGCGACACTGCTTATACGGGGAGAGGTTCGAGGTGTTCTCAGATCACAAGAGCCTAAGATACATTTTCACGCATAAGGACTTGAACCTTCGGCAGAGGAGATGGATGGAGTATATGGAGGACTATGACTTTGACCTTCAGTACTATCCTAGGAAGGCCAATGTCGTAGCAGATGCACTTAGTTGGAGACCGAGGAGCACTATAGCTAGCATTGCTATTACGGAGTGAGAGATGATGGGAGACATTGGAGAGTTTGACTTAGACCTTTCGAGTCTGAGTGACATGCCACACTTTTTAGTGTTTGTGCATAGCCTACACTATTGAGCAGGATTATTGAGGCACAATTATAGGACACANGAAATAAGAGTACAAATTGTGATTTTGCTTCTGAATGGATTGGAGGTTGTTATATGACCATTTATTTGAGGTTATTAATAGTGATCTGGAATTAGTATGAATAGTTGGCTAGTGTTGCTTTGGATAAAAAAAATTAAATGTTAAGTGATGACTTAATTTTTGTATAATTGGGTTTTAAGAATTATTCATAAAGAATATGATTGGAATATTGTGGTGCAATAATTGATGAATTATATTAGATGAATTTAGTTGAAGATTGATTGAGAATGACATGGTTAGCCTTTGAAGGGAAAGAAATATAGAGCAATGAAATTACTTATTACATGAAAAGGTAGGTATGGCCAAACTACTCAGGGTCGTGTTTATGCAGTAGCCACACCAGAGGCATCTACTTTTAGACCTTTAGTGGTTCGAGGTATATTCCTTGTGATTAGTTCATGGGCCAGCGTACTGATAGACTCGGGTGCATCTCATTCATTTATATCTACCATGCTTACCATGACATTGGGGTTGGACATAGATCAGTTAGACCCACCATTGCATGTTGACAACCCAGTTGGGGGTAGTGTGATATTGACGAGGATTTATAGAGATTGCCCGATAAAGATAGCTGATCACATCCTTTATTTTGACTTTATTCTGCTTGACATGTCTGGTTTTGATATTATTTTGGGGATGGATTGGTTGTTTGATTTTCGGGCGAGTATAGATTGTTATAGGGGGAGAGTGACAATGTGTACTCCTGAGGGAGATAACTTTTATTTCATGGGAGAGCGTGGGGATTTCTTAGTTTCACCCTTGTATGACTCGAGGAGTTGGAGAGGTCATAGTTACATGTTGGCTAGTTTGGTAGTAGATGGGGGNTGCTAGATTGGATAGATCTTCAAGTGGAGGATGATGTTTCTTATGATGAGAGGCCTATGGAGGTATTGGACTCGAGGGACCAAGTTTTGTGGGGCAAGACCATCCCTTTGGTCAAGGTTCTTTGGAACCATCATGGGGTCNACTACAGAGAGTGTATTACCACCCGTAGTAGATGAGTTTCTAGATGTCTTCTTGGATGACTTGACTAGTCTACCTCTGAGGCGAGAGATAGAGTTCACAATAGAGCTTATCCCAAGCACTATGCCTATTTTCATTCCACCTTACCATATGGCTCCAGCTGAGTTGAGAGAGCTAAATGAGCAGTTGACTGATTTGCTAGGGAAATGTTTTATTCATCCTAGTACTTCTCCGTGGAGTGCTTCGGCACTATTTGCGAGGAAGAAGGATGAGACATCTATAGGAGGCTGAACAGGGTCACTATCAAGAACAAGTACCCGTTGCTGAGGATAGATGACTTGTTTGATCAGCTTAAGGGTTTGAGATATTTCTCAAAGATTGATCTTAGATTGGGGTATCAACAATTGAGAGTACGGGAAGAGGATATGGCGAAGACAGCTTTTCGCACTCGTTATGGCCATTATGAGTTCATGGTTATGTCATTCGGTGTTACGAATGCCCCGGCGGCATTCATGAACTTGATGCATCTCATTTTTAGTCCTTATTTAGATCAGTTTGTCGTGTTGTTTGTTGATGACTTGTCTGACGAGTAAGGGCATTAGATTTGAGTGGACAGATGACTGTGAGCATTCATTTCAGGAGCTGAAGAAGAGGCTCACTTCTGTATTTGTCCTGATTATACCTGAGGGAGGTATTGGATATACCGTTTATTGTGATGCTTTACGAGAGGGATTAGGTTGTGTATTGATGTAGGAGGGTAGAGTGGTAGCCTATGATTCTCGATAGTTAAAGAATCATGAGCAAAACTACCCCACACATGATTTGGGGTTAGCTACCATCATTTTTGCACTTAAGAGTTGGCGACACTGCTTATACGGGGAGAGGTTCGAGGTGTTCTCAGATCACAAGAGCCTAAGATACATTTTCACGCATAAGGACTTGAACCTTCGGCAGAGGAGATGGATGGAGTATATGGAGGACTATGACTTTGACCTTCAGTACTATCCTAGGAAGGCCAATGTCGTAGCAGATGCACTTAGTTGGAGACCGAGGAGCACTATAGCTAGCATTGCTATTACGGAGTGAGAGATGATGGGAGACATTGGAGAGTTTGACTTAGACCTTTCGAGTCTGAGTGACATGCCACACTTTTTAGTGTTTGTGCATAGCCTACACTATTGAGCAGGATTATTGAGGCACAATTATAGGACACAGAGGTAGGGCAGATTCGAGCACGAGTTGCAAGTGCCGAGGACTTTGAGGGATGGATGGTTCATTCTGACCTTAGCCTAAGGTATATGGGTAGAGTCTTTGCTCCAGAGTTTCTTAGGACTGATGTCCTTAGAGATTTCCCTTATTCACGCCTGGTAGTACACCCAGGGGGNTCTTTGAGTTTCTTGACAATTTGTTGCTATGGTGAATGTGTATATTGCTTACGTGTTGAATTATTATATTATAACTTATGTTCATGTAGAGAAACTCTTGTAGTTTGAGAGTTATGATTTATTACATGAGTTGGTAGTTTGTGTATTTGTAGTTTCTTTGAGAAATTGTGAAAGTAATGAATATGAAGCTTAATAATATGTTTAAATCCATTAAATGGTGCTTCACATTTATGTAGATAAGGTATTTAATGAAATGTTTCATAACAATATGAAGCTTGATCATATGGTTAATCAATTGAATGATGTTTCACATTCTTGTAGATAAGGTGTTGACGAAATGTTTCATAGAATTTACATTGAGAAAAATCATGGCATCTTGACATACATGAATCCTTGGAACATAATGTGAGTTGAGCACTTGGTGCTATGTATTATGAGGGTGTAGATCCTGTGGTGAAAAATTCAAAATCTAGCTAATGATAGTACTCATGGTCTGACGGGGGTGGACTGTAAAGCGAGACATGGGTGACATAGAGTTGCACGGGTGTGTCATGCATATTTACATTGTATAGCATTGAGAGATTATGAGGTTGTAGCTTTTAAAAATGTACACTTGCACAAGCCATGCCTTAAATTTGTTCCTAGCGTTAGCACTTTGTCATACCAGCAGTTGAGCTGACCCATTCGTGGGATATCGTATTACAGATGAGGCTCCCGGTACTTGAGTCTTGAGGAAGTCTTAGAGGAAGGAGAGGAAAGGGACTTCAATGTATATTTGGCTATTGGACATATTTTGTATGCATGGGCATATGCCCAAATGACTTGTATTCTAGTTTGAAAAAGTAGTGGATTAAAAGTCTTGGACTATTTTAATGTGTAAGAGTGTAAACTCAATTGATATTTGGGATGTCTTTATTTAATGAGTATCATATGTGTATATTGGGGCAATTAGATGTATAAGTTGAGAATAAGAGATGTATGTTTAATTTACATGGGTTGTGGCTACCGAGTGAGGGTGGATTGTGATATAATTATGCATTTGAAATATTGTGAATATTAGGTGGAAAAAAAACTTGGAAACAAAGGAGGTTATGTTGAAATTTTATGAAAAATTAAAAGACTTGTTAAGTGTGTAAAACACTTTTTAAATAAGTGGGAAGGATGTGAGAAACGGGGGTTTAGAAACCTTGAAAAAATAGACTAAAAATGGAAGAAAAGTGACTTGAAAAACTTTGAAAAAACATGAAAAATAAATGATAAACTAATTTATTTAACCTAATGACCTTTTATTTACTTTTCTTTTCCATTTTCACTCACTCCCCGGATTTGTGAAAATTCAGGGCATGACAAGATGGGGGTTGGAAATTATCTTGTCCAAAGTCAAGAGGTCCAAAATATTATTGTCACACCAACTCATTGCCACAAATGTTATTCTCAATNTACTTGGAAGCGTGAGACTGAAGTCCACGCTAAGTATCCAGAGTTGTTTATTCATAGAGATACATTTCTAAATTTCTTTAAGGGGGGAGGATGTAGAGATTTGAAAAGTAAGGATAAATTTTTCAGTTTTGCCGGTAGAGCACCACATATGCATTATTTAGATATAAGTCATATTTACGAGCATAAATTGAGTATGCCATAAAAGAGAAATATGTTTAGAATGTTAAAATACACATACTGTATGAATTTGAGCCTAAACAAAAATAATTTTAAAAATTAGACAAAAAGGTATCTCGGGTGGCCTAGGTGGGACCGGCCAAACCCCGCCACTAGCGAAAATATATATTTTTAAAAATTTTTATTTAAAATAATTTTAAGAATTTTAGTTAAAATAAAATATCGAATTGAGGCGTTTTGAGACTAGTTGTAGTGTAACGGAGTCCTGGATTCATCAAGGGCAGGGTCTTTTTGCACATTTGCTCCTCCACTATAAATATAGCCCCTTTAGTGTAAAAAATATCAGTGTTTTTAGTCTGGAAAGGGGCAGTACACATTCAAGGTGAAAGAATAAAGAAAAATCCTAAGTTCTTCAAGTTTCAAGCAACCAAAACTCAATCTTAGGCCAAGATTCTTGCAAGACTTCCTTCTAAGAAGTTGTTCCTCTCAAAAAGAGCTATATTCTCACAGATCGGTTTGGCTTTGAAGCAAACACTCTTGGATTGAGAAATATCATTTTAGGTATGATATTTTGCTAAGTTGAGAATATATTTAAGTTTTCTTATCTTCCTATGTGTTGATTGAATGATTTAGGTGTTTACTTGATGTTAAAAAATCATTTAGTTGGTAGTTTCTTTGAAAACTTAGAATTTATGGTTTAAGTACTTTTGTATTCTTTGAGTTTCTTGACAATTTGTTGCTATGGTGAATGTGTATATTGCTTACGTGTTGAATTATTATATTATAACTTATGTTCATGTAGAGAAACTCTTGTAGTTTGAGAGTTATGATTTATTACATGAGTTGGTAGTTTGTGTATTTGTAGTTTCTTTGAGAAATTGTGAAAGTAATGAATATGAAGCTTAATAATATGTTTAAATCCATTAAATGGTGCTTCACATTTATGTAGATAAGGTATTTAATGAAATGTTTCATAACAATATGAAGCTTGATCATATGGTTAATCAATTGAATGATGTTTCACATTCTTGTAGATAAGGTGTTGACGAAATGTTTCATAGAATTTACATTGAGAAAAATCATGGCATCTTGACATACATGAATCCTTGGAACATAATGTGAGTTGAGCACTTGGTGCTATGTATTATGAGGGTGTAGATCCTGTGGTGAAAAATTCAAAATCTAGCTAATGATAGTACTCATGGTCTGACGGGGGTGGACTGTAAAGCGAGACATGGGTGACATAGAGTTGCACGGGTGTGTCATGCATATTTACATTGTATAGCATTGAGAGATTATGAGGTTGTAGCTTTTAAAAATGTACACTTGCACAAGCCATGCCTTAAATTTGTTCCTAGCGTTAGCACTTTGTCATACCAGCAGTTGAGCTGACCCATTCGTGGGATATCGTATTACAGATGAGGCTCCCGGTACTTGAGTCTTGAGGAAGTCTTAGAGGAAGGAGAGGAAAGGGACTTCAATGTATATTTGGCTATTGGACATATTTTGTATGCATGGGCATATGCCCAAATGACTTGTATTCTAGTTTGAAAAAGTAGTGGATTAAAAGTCTTGGACTATTTTAATGTGTAAGAGTGTAAACTCAATTGATATTTGGGATGTCTTTATTTAATGAGTATCATATGTGTATATTGGGGCAATTAGATGTATAAGTTGAGAATAAGAGATGTATGTTTAATTTACATGGGTTGTGGCTACCGAGTGAGGGTGGATTGTGATATAATTATGCATTTGAAATATTGTGAATATTAGGTGGAAAAAAAACTTGGAAACAAAGGAGGTTATGTTGAAATTTTATGAAAAATTAAAAGACTTGTTAAGTGTGTAAAACACTTTTTAAATAAGTGGGAAGGATGTGAGAAACGGGGGTTTAGAAACCTTGAAAAAATAGACTAAAAATGGAAGAAAAGTGACTTGAAAAACTTTGAAAAAACATGAAAAATAAATGATAAACTAATTTATTTAACCTAATGACCTTTTATTTACTTTTCTTTTCCATTTTCACTCACTCCCCGGATTTGTGAAAATTCAGGGCATGACAAGATGGGGGTTGGAAATTATCTTGTCCAAAGTCAAGAGGTCCAAAATATTATTGTCACACCAACTCATTGCCACAAATGTTATTCTCAATTATTCAGTTCACCGTGATTCTTCAAGTGAACCAATAAACTAACTTGTTGCTTCTACAAAGCCACAAAGAGTTCATTAAAATAAATGAGAATTTCAGGGTACAATGAACTAAAACAAGGCAGATCTCTAATTAAAGAAGGAGATAGAACTACACGTTTCCTCTTTTGTTTTCTACTACTCAACTAAAAAATAAATTTTGACCCAAAAAGAAAACTAAAAAATAATTGGGTTAATTACATTGGCGGTCTCCAAAGTATGGAGTTTCTTCTATTTTGGTCATCAATATTTCAGTTGTATCATTTTAGTCCCTAAAGTATTGAATATATTTTTAAATGGTCCCTCAAACAGACAAAATCCAAATTGTTAATAATTTTTTATTATAAACTTAATACCAAAATATGGGCAAAAAAATAATTTGAATAACTCTTGACCAAATTTTATCTAAATTTTAGTCAATAAGCTACTCAAATTCCGCAGTTATAATCTAAGTTATCCAAATGTTCGTCAAGAGCTACTCATATTACATATTTTTGGTCAAGAGCTTTAAAAATTTTGTTCAATAACTACCCAAATTATGTTTTTTCAATATTTAGGTATAACATAACAAGTTTATATAAAAAACAATTGTTAGCAATTTAGATGTTGTCTGCTTGAGGATTACATAAAAACATATTTAATACTTTATGGACCAAAATGATGCAATTGAAATGTTAGGAAACAAAATGATGCAATTGAAATAATGAGAAACAAAATGATGCAATTGAAATATTGGAAATCAAAATGAAACAAACTTTATACTTTAAGGGACCTCCAATACAATTACCTAAAAAAATTTATAAAATCAAATTGGATACTTGGACCGCTGCGTCTCATTAGTTTTTCTTGATGGATCCGTTGATCCAATCATCCACATTAATTTGTTAAATTTTTTGATAAACGTTTTTTTGATAAGCACTTCATTTCAAAATTTTGATATGTTTTCTCTTCTTTACCCTCCAAACCGAACACCTAGACTAATATCTTTTCAGCTCACCCCTTGGCCTTTTTACCATTCAATAAATTACCCTGAAATTTTTTTTTGCAAACTTGTTTGACATCTATCCATCTTTATGTTGATACCTCAGGGACTGAAAAGCAGCAAGAACGAAAAAAGGGAATGGAAGAAAGCATATCATTAAATGCAAAAATAACATAACTCTATAGGTTCGTTGGTAAATATCATAAAGGCTCATAAACATTGACATGAGTTTCAATTTAGGGCGAAAGTGGTACCAGTGATGGTGGTGGAGGCAATAGTGAGCCAATGGTAGCAACAGTTGTTGTTTGGTTGGGTGGCGGTGACAGTGCTAAGATTGTAGTGGTTGCAAGGGTGTTGAAGGTGGAGGTAGTGGTGGGGGATAACGGTTTGATGGTGGTTGCTATTGTGACGGCAGAGGCGGGGGTAGTTCTAGTTAGGTGGTGGAGGGAAAGGGAAAAACTTGAAAACTGGAAGCTTCACACTTCTGCTCTTTGTATTGTCTAATACAATGTTTACATTTTAGTACATACCAAAAAGTTTTCACTTTATAAGATGCAACGTTTAACACTTGAAATTTGATATTCAGTTTTCAATACTTAATTTGTAGTTTTATCAGAAAATATTTAACTCTAGGGGTTCTTCATTTGGCCAAAAATCATAAAAATCTTCTTTTTTTTACAAGAGTTTGGATTTACATATCAAAGACTGGTTTACCAAAATTTTGTTTTAGAACTCTTGAAATCGTAATAATTTGTTCGCTGTGTTTAACTCTTGCGTTAAACTATGCATAATAGCATTAGCTCACGAGCGAAATCGAAATAAGTGTGTCGAATTTTCTAGTGTATTTTAATGAAAAATTGTGCAGAAAGGGTTGATTGTTACGATTCTAATTGTTCATGTATAAATTTGAAAGAAAAAAATATCTTGGGACAAATTAGAACTAGTATAAATGTTCGAGAATGCAAGGACTATGAAATTGAAAAGCCCAGATTTGATTTTTTTAACTTGATAAATATTACATTGACCCCTTAACTATGCTCTTTGTCTCTCACTGCCACTCAGCTGTTATGTTTCACATGTTGCACCTCTGAACGTGCTATTATTTTCACGCTATCTAAATTGTGAAAATCCGTCCCAAAAAGGATAGAAAGTTACGTCCCTTTGTTCATCTAGATAATGTCCCTTTGTTTTACTGAATCTAGCAGACCTCTACTTTTTGAAATAACATTAAACCAATATAAGTAGTTAAGATGAATAATGTGAGAAACTTAATAATAAAATGAATAAAGTGATATCAACATAATTGGTTAAAAATGCAAAGAAAATTACCCTCCAAAAAACTTAGAAGTGAACCCGCATAAAATGTTGTTTTTGTCCATAGTTTCTGCATGCGACAAAATAGTCCCCCTCGCCTTTGTAGATCCAACTCTAAGTCAAGTCATCTCTCTTAAAGGTCTTTCCCAAAAAAGAACAACGTGGGATGATGGCAGCTAGCATGGTGGATCCCTCAGAAGCCCACATCACATGGGTCGGGACAGGACCCAAACGGGGATGTTTGGGCTTAAGGGGGTAGATTGTAATGACCTAATTCCACATTGATTAGCGAAGTAAATGTGGAGTGACATATAAGTATGAGCTTTTAACCTTCATTGTACAACACATTTTAAAGTTATGCAGGCCTAGCTTAAAGCGGACAATATTGTACGGTCCAGACAAAAACATATATCACAAATTTTTTTGATTAAAACTGTCAACATTCAATTTTCAGTACTTCATTTCCATTTTTATTAAACAAGAAGTAAGCCTTGAAGTTTATTTTTTCTTCTAAATTTTGTTTAGGAATTCTTTAAATCATAGGAACTTATTCCTGTTGTTTAATTCCGGTACTAAACCACACGTAAAACAAAAATGAGTACATGGGCAAATTGAAACAAGTGCGTGGGGATTTTCAGTATGTTTTAATGGGAAATTTGGTAGATAGGGTTGATTGTTACGATGCTAAGAGAGTGATTATAAATTTGAAAAAATGATATTCTTGGAACAAACTAAACTAATGTCAATGTTCTAGAATGGGAGGACCATGAAGATCTTTTTTGTGCAAGTTTTGATTTTTATAAAGGGTAACTTTGACATTGGCCCCCCAACTACACTCCCTCATTCTCACATTGTTGCCTTAATGTCATGTTTCACATGTTTCATTTTCGAACACGGTTATTAGCTTCACACTGTCCAAATTGCAAACAATCCTTATAAAATGGATAGAAAATTGTGTCTCTTTGTCTACCTAAACAATGTGATTATGTTTTACTTGCTCTAACATACATCTATTAAGTTTGAGACAATGTTAAACCAATACTAGTAGTTAAGACAGGTAATATGCGAAACTCAATAATGAAATGGTTGAAGTGAGATCAGACTCGTAAGTTAAAAATTCAAAGTATAATTACCCTCCAGAAAATGTGGAAGTGACCCACATGAAATGTTGTTCTTGTCCATATGCATAGATTAGCTTCTACATTAACGAAACAAGTCCCCATTGCCTTCTTAGTCATTTGCCTCACTCCAAATCCAACTCCAAGTCAAGTCATCCTTGTGATAACTGGGTGATAGTCCACATGCGACAATAAGATTTTCAACACCAAAGTAAGAGAGAGAATCTTACCTTTTATTTGCAGCATAAATTTGATTCCAATTTGGTATCCCTAAACAAAAGCTCTTAATTTTAACCTCCATATCCAAATTAAAAGTACCATCATTAGATAAGTAATAGATCCTAATACTCATTAATTAATNATTGGAAATCAAAATGAAACAAACTTTATACTTTAAGGGACCTCCAATACAATTACCTAAAAAAATTTATAAAATCAAATTGGATACTTGGACCGCTGCGTCTCATTAGTTTTTCTTGATGGATCCGTTGATCCAATCATCCACATTAATTTGTTAAATTTTTTGATAAACGTTTTTTTGATAAGCACTTCATTTCAAAATTTTGATATGTTTTCTCTTCTTTACCCTCCAAACCGAACACCTAGACTAATATCTTTTCAGCTCACCCCTTGGCCTTTTTACCATTCAATAAATTACCCTGAAATTTTTTTTTGCAAACTTGTTTGACATCTATCCATCTTTATGTTGATACCTCAGGGACTGAAAAGCAGCAAGAACGAAAAAAGGGAATGGAAGAAAGCATATCATTAAATGCAAAAATAACATAACTCTATAGGTTCGTTGGTAAATATCATAAAGGCTCATAAACATTGACATGAGTTTCAATTTAGGGCGAAAGTGGTACCAGTGATGGTGGTGGAGGCAATAGTGAGCCAATGGTAGCAACACTTGTTGTTTGGTTGGGTGGCGGTGACAGTGCTAAGATTGTAGTGGTTGCAAGGGTGTTGAAGGTGGAGGTAGTGGTGGGGGATAACGGTTTGATGGTGGTTGCTATTGTGACGGCAGAGGCGGGGGTAGTTCTAGTTAGGTGGTGGAGGGAAAGGGAAAAACTTGAAAACTGGAAGCTTCACACTTCTGCTCTTTGTATTGTCTAATACAATGTTTACATTTTAGTACATACCAAAAAGTTTTCACTTTATAAGATGCAACGTTTAACACTTGAAATTTGATATTCAGTTTTCAATACTTAATTTGTAGTTTTATCAGAAAATATTTAACTCTAGGGGTTCTTCATTTGGCCAAAAATCATAAAAATCTTCTTTTTTTTACAAGAGTTTGGATTTACATATCAAAGACTGGTTTACCAAAATTTTGTTTTAGAACTCTTGAAATCGTAATAATTTGTTCGCTATGTTTAACTCTTGCGTTAAACTATGCATAATAGCATTAGTTCACGAGCGAAATCGAAATAAGTGTGTCGAATTTTCTAGTGTATTTTAATGAAAAATTGTGCAGAAAGGGTTGATTGTTACGATTCTAATTGTTCATGTATAAATTTGAAAGAAAAAAATATCTTGGGACAAATTAGAACTAGTATAAATGTTCGAGAATGCAAGGACTATGAAATTGAAAAGCCCAGATTTGATTTTTTTAACTTGATAAATATTACATTGACCCCTTAACTATGCTCTTTGTCTCTCACTGCCACTCAGCTGTTATGTTTCACATGTTGCACCTCTGAACGTGCTATTATTTTCACGCTATCTAAATTGTGAAAATCCGTCCCAAAAAGGATAGAAAGTTACGTCCCTTTGTTCATCTAGATAATGTCCCTTTGTTTTACTGAATCTAGCAGACCTCTACTTTTTGAAATAACATTAAACCAATATAAGTAGTTAAGATGAATAATGTGAGAAACTTAATAATAAAATGAATAAAGTGATATCAACATAATTGGTTAAAAATGCAAAGAAAATTACCCTCCAAAAAACTTAGAAGTGAACCCGCATAAAATGTTGTTTTTGTCCATAGTTTCTGCATGCGACAAAATAGTCCCCCTCGCCTTTGTAGATCCAACTCTAAGTCAAGTCATCTCTCTTAAAGGTCTTTCCCAAAAAAGAACAACGTGGGATGATGGCAGCTAGCATGGTGGATCCCTCAGAAGCCCACATCACATGGGTCGGGACAGGACCCAAACGGGGATGTTTGGGCTTAAGGGGGTAGATTGTAATGACCTAATTCCACATTGATTAGCGAAGTAAATGTGGAGTGACATATAAGTATGAGCTTTTAACCTTCATTGTACAACACATTTTAAAGTTATGCAGGCCTAGCTTAAAGCGGACAATATTGTACGGTCCAGACAAAAACATATATCACAAATTTTTTTGATTAAAACTGTCAACATTCAATTTTCAGTACTTCATTTCCATTTTTATTAAACAAGAAGTAAGCCTTGAAGTTTATTTTTTCTTCTAAATTTTGTTTAGGAATTCTTTAAATCATAGGAACTTATTCCTGTTGTTTAATTCCGGTACTAAACCACACGTAAAACAAAAATGAGTACATGGGCAAATTGAAACAAGTGCGTGGGGATTTTCAGTATGTTTTAATGGGAAATTTGGTAGATAGGGTTGATTGTTACGATGCTAAGAGAGTGATTATAAATTTGAAAAAATGATATTCTTGGAACAAACTAAACTAATGTCAATGTTCTAGAATGGGAGGACCATGAAGATCTTTTTTGTGCAAGTTTTGATTTTTATAAAGGGTAACTTTGACATTGGCCCCCCAACTACACTCCCTCATTCTCACATTGTTGCCTTAATGTCATGTTTCACATGTTTCATTTTCGAACACGGTTATTAGCTTCACACTGTCCAAATTGCAAACAATCCTTATAAAATGGATAGAAAATTGTGTCTCTTTGTCTACCTAAACAATGTGATTATGTTTTACTTGCTCTAACATACATCTATTAAGTTTGAGACAATGTTAAACCAATACTAGTAGTTAAGACAGGTAATATGCGAAACTCAATAATGAAATGGTTGAAGTGAGATCAGACTCGTAAGTTAAAAATTCAAAGTATAATTACCCTCCAGAAAATGTGGAAGTGACCCACATGAAATGTTGTTCTTGTCCATATGCATAGATTAGCTTCTACATTAACGAAACAAGTCCCCATTGCCTTCTTAGTCATTTGCCTCACTCCAAATCCAACTCCAAGTCAAGTCATCCTTGTGATAACTGGGTGATAGTCCACATGCGACAATAAGATTTTCAACACCAAAGTAAGAGAGAGAATCTTACCTTTTATTTGCAGCATAAATTTGATTCCAATTTGGTATCCCTAAACAAAAGCTCTTAATTTTAACCTCCATATCCAAATTAAAAGTACCATCATTAGATAAGTAATAGATCCTAATACTCATTAATTAATTAGTTAATGAGACCAAAGAATAAGTGGGGGAGTCCCATGTTCAAATGTTAGTTTAAGCAAACTGTAGATGAAGGAGGGTAGCTTAATTTTACTTCTACCAATGTCATAGAATGCAACTACTTCATTGAATATCGGTGGCTCGAGCAAAAGAGGACGGACCCAGTGGTAGGTTACTTTTCTGCTTTGAAGTTCGAGTCTCACCAACCCCTTCCTTATTTGTATTGTGACAAAAAGAAAATACCAGTGGCTTGAAGGCCCTTATCATAGCCACAAATGTTCTTGTCACACAAACGTCTAGATAGGGAAGAAGACTAGCACTACACAAGACTAGACTTCCACAGAGATGGCCCGCAAAAATTATGCTCACCGTAATGAGGTCCAAACCATTGATTTAATTTCAAAGTTGGTAGTTTATATATCCTTGTTAAGACAAATGGTTCTTTGGTTTAATGCTACTCCTTACCTTTTGAAGACTTTGTCTTTTTGAGATCAAGAGTTCAAACCCCCTTCGCCACACCAAAAAAAAAAAAAAAAATTGTACGGATGTGCACTGTATATATATAAAATACCCTATATCCCTCCTTATGTTTTTCAAAATTTTACACCTTCTCATAAGTTTTTTAATTTTTTTATATTTGTAGGGTAATTAAATTAGTGCATTCAAGAACCCAAATGGCTTGATATTTAATAACGAAATGGGGATATTAGTCCAATAAATTAATGTTTCTCTTATAGACTAGAACACATGTTTGTCTTGGTATTCTGACTCGAGAAGAGAAAAAAGAAAGAAAACCATTTTAGTTACGTACGTCACATATATTATAATAATACATTGTCTTTATTAATATTTATGATTTACAATGACAATTTATTCGTAGTGATTGTATCATGTAATGAAAGAGAGAATAGGTGGATCATGACATTGTCATAAGTTAAATTTTGAAATTTGTATCTTATAGAATAACATTTTTAACTGTGTGATTATTTTTGTCTGACACTCTCATAATAAAATCCTGGTTTGTCCCTGGCCACAAATGTTCTTTGTCACACAAACGTCTAGATGGGAAAGAAGTTCAGCACTAGACTGAATCTAAAAGAGTAATGCTATTGAGACTTAATTTGCTGACTTAATTTACTATGACCTTTTAATTCACTGTGGAACCCATTAAACATTGAAACTTGCTATTGATACAATGGTTTCAATGCAGCCACATTATTAGATCATCAAATTATGTCAAATTTTTAAGTGTAAATAACATTAGTCAATCAAAAATTTCAATTTCCCTTGCCGCATTCAAGCATGCACGTATTGTTCCTTTTCATTTATCTAAGTATCAAATACACCTCTCTCTCTCTCTCTCTCTCTCTCTGCTATTTCCATATCCTTTGTCATACTTTGAGGCCTTAGCTACTTGGTGATATTTGTTTATTTATTGACTTCATAATCGACAACGATTATAATGTCTATTTTTTTTTATTAATCATCTCGATCTACGTTCAGTTACTAACGGCTTTTGGCTGTATCAAATACAAACTGTTGACAAAGTCTCTTTGTTTAAATGCAAGGTTTAGTAGTTGCATTAGATTCATACTGCTAAGCAGAACATGCTAGCACATGGTTTTCATTAAATTTTTCAAAATTTAGCTTTATTGCCTAGGTTTAACTGGATCCGGATCCTTCTATTTCAAAATTGGTATCAATTTTTTTTTTTTTTAAGCTTATTCGTTGAACGTTAAGTTCATGAGGTCTCATTCAACATCAATGGGATCGTAGAAAGCCATTCATGAACACGACACATTTCATGATAAATGATTGAGCTTGAATAAACTAACAAATATTGATTTTAACTAACAAATACCCTGTCTTCTTTGATTTTTTCATATAACCCTTCGGGTAAAGCACTCTACAAACAAAAAAATAAAAGCACTCTAATTGATGCATTATTTACAAGATATTGATAATACATGTAACTACTCTTAATGTACGAAAATAGTTTGTTAAAATTAAAATTAACAAAATTCTAAGAACGATAATGTCAGAAAAATGATTAACTGGATTAGATATATTATTACTTGCAATGTGCATATTGTCGAACTTAAAACTAAAATAACTCAAGAATTTTGAATACGAAATTACCAATTAATATTGAAATAAAAAAGTATACTTTAGAATTATCGCTCCAAGTCTCAATTTTTTTCAAGCTGGCCCGATCTAATGGTGCCTCTTCTATTAGATCGGAGGACTTGGGTAAAACTGAACAGAGTATCAGAAAATTTATACTCGAATACTTTCATAAGAATGCGTTCACATTGGTGGAAGACCCCATCTTGGCCCACTATAAATGGAATATTTGATTATGCCTCAACTAAGTCATCCATTGAATTTGAATTTTCAACCTACGCGTAAGGGAAGATGAGGTCATCTAATTTTAAAAATCTACTTTGTCCTCTTGAGAATTTTTTAATGTTGCTTTGTTGGACATGTCTTGCAAGTCTTGGTCTAAAAGTCTCTGCCTTTTGACTAGGTCTATAACAATTGTGATGTGACCCCTGAGATTTCGATAATATCATTGGCTTAGCTATATCAAGTTTTGAATCTTAAAATAGGGAAGTTTCTTAGACTCAAAACCGGAGCTCCATAATGTTGAATAAAGGACTTCTTCAATGAGAGCCTAGCATGTGGCTTGAGCTTGTTGAATGGACTGAAACTAT